GTCACCCCCCCATCTGCCTGCATCCCCACCCTCTCCAAAAGCAGACTGTTCTAAGCCACAGCTGTAACCTCAGAGGTCCAGTGCACTAACAGGACATCGGCCCAGCACCTACTGCAGTGATTCAGGGGAGAGGCAACAAATCACTCAGAAGCTAAAATAAACAGGGCAGAAAACAGTCTCCTGCTGCAGGAGCTGACAGCCGAGGAAAAACAACAAGATGAAAGCACTGACGGGCTGCCGAGCAGCAATACCTGCCAGGAAACCCAGACACCATCATCTCCTAACGAGGGGCAGGACCCAAACAAGGGCTGAAGCTGCACCAGTACTCAGAAGCTGACCTCGGCTGCTGCTTGAAGTTTAGCTAGGAGAAGCTATGAAGTAGGTCTCTGCCCAGTAAAGGAGGCCAGAACAAACAGCAAAGAGCCTCCGCTGAACCCTGCAGGAAGCCAGGGACCACAGTGTTTGTTTGCCACCATGATCTAGCAGGCTATGGAAGGGCTATCTTTCTTCCAATAAAAAATGTTTTCCTGGAGCTTGTTTCAACAGGACAGTTGATGAACCAGCCACAGCCAGTGGTTACACCAGAGGATGCAGGACAAAGCACCAAGATCAGCAGCACAGCCTTTCAGACACTGTGACTCTGCCTCATCTGGCAGAAGAAAGCTCTTGGGGACAGGGGACAGTTCTCCTGCACAGTCCCAGCATGCAAGGGTCAGCTTTTCACCCAGGGCTCCTACACATGCCAGGAGACAGAGAGCATCCTCATCGTGTGGGTGAGGATGAAAGGTCCCCACCACATTATAGCTTGGCTTCTACACCCCCCGAGTTCAGAGTGAACCGCTCAGAGCTCCAGAGGGATCTAAGCACAGCCACCCTTCAGGACCACCGAGTGGCCTCTCCTTATTTGGCAGCACAGCAAAGGAGCTGCACAGGAAAGGATCTATGCCATTCCCCTTACACCTGTGAGAACACCACAAGCTCCACCAAAAGCACTCTTGGAGGCAGTCTGGAGCTCTGGCAGCAATGCAACTTCTCTGCACAAGAGAGGACATGCTGCCCGTGCGGTTATGCTGAAAGAGAAGACCAGCTCCAGCCTTTTGGGGCCCAAATTCCAGGACCATAGTGATAAAATGGAAAAGAGAAGGGTAGCACAACCTCTCCAGCTCTTTTCTCAGCAAAAAGAGAGGTGCTGAACACCTCAAAGCAAAGGCAGCCTCTAGGGGAGAACAGAAGATCCTTGAAGGGACAGTGAAAACAAAAGCACACACTGCACTCAGCCTGGTGCAGAGAGGACACACTCCAGGGACAGATCCCACTCCTCCACATGCACACCACTGTTTCCATACAGCATGCAAGTCCTCAGCTGAGCCAACTGCATGGACAGAGGCACAAGCACCTACAGAGCAGTGGTGTTGGAGACACACAGCCTCTGGAAAACCTCTCCTAACAGAGGCCCACAGGCTTGAACCAAGTCCCTGCCACTCCTCAGCAGGCCACTTCACAGCCTCATCACCCAGCTAGAAGCTGGATTTCACCACACCAATCAGCTCTACAACACTGGCAGGTCAGAAAGAAAACAGTTTCCTACACTGTTGCTGCAGAAGCAAGAGGAATTATTAGCAATAGGAGGTTCATGAACACTGACCTGAAGGTAAAGACAGTCCTGGTTCGAAACAAGATGCTTTTGGGCATTTCTTGGGCTCCACATGCATTTGGCAGTAAGGAGGATTGCAGACCACCAATAAAGCCAGCCCACAACCAACATTCCAGACCCAGACTGGCACCACTGTCCAACTACATCAACAGCTTTTCATTCTCCAGAGAGAATACCAGACCTCTAACAGGCTACCACAGCTTTAGGAATTGGAGATGACTCACCAACCTTTTGACAGCAGAAATCTGGGTGACCTGTAAGTCTGTTTGCCCCAGACAGATTCCACTCCAGCACAGATCCATGCTCACACCGCTGGAGCTGAGGGAGGCGGCTCCAGGTCCTTCACTGACACCTTGTGTCAGAAGCAGGAACTGGATACAACAGGGAGGGCCGGGCAGCTTCCAAGCAATCCCAGCACAGGTGCACGTCACAGGGCCTCTCTGGCTGAGAAACAACCAAAGCACCTGGACTTTTGATGCTGAATGAAGGGATTAAACATGTTATTGCTGCAGGGTTTACGAGAAAGCTTAAGCCAAAACAGCTCTCACTGCCCCCCTCAGTCCTGGACGTGTTTTTCTGCTCTTCTTCAGGCCAGCTCAGGAGCCTGACCACAGACAGCCCACTTGGCTACTTCTGACTGGACAAGAGGCAAGAGCTTGAGTCAGGTTACTTTGTGATCAGACAAGCAGAGACAACAGAGGATCACAGAAAAGCATGATTTCCTCCTTCCAGCAGCACTGAGCTGCCAGACCAAGTCCTGAAGCAGAGAAGTCAATGCCTTTGTGCTTCCAGACCAACCCAAGCACACGAGAGGGAGCAGCATTTCAGACCTGGAAGCACAGCACCCTCCAAGCAATGCCAGTAGCAGCAAGGTGGCAGATACTGGATTCCCAGGGCCAGACCCAGAACAGCCTTGGTCCTTCAGGATTTCTCCATGGCCAAGGATCACTCGCTCCAGGACTGGGACAAACTGCAGAGCTGGACTTGCACACAAGCGGCAGAGAGAAGACAAAATAGAGAGTAGAGAACAATGTATGAGTATTTTCTGTCCCAGTACTTATTTTGGCTGCTAACACGCCAGCCACTGCCTGGATTTAATGCAGACAAGTCCTGGGAGAGGAAGAATGCACGTTAGAAGTCTGTGGAACACAGAAAACAAGTACTGAATGGGAAAATCCCAACTAAAGGGACAGAGGAAAGAAATAGTCTGACCACAGCCCCACATGAGTGATCAAGAGCAACATTCCTTTGAAGGAAAACACCTCTACAAAAACACAGTGGGCAGGGGCACAGAAAGCCTGGTGGAAGAAGAACAAGCTTGACAGTGAACTTGGAAGAGCCTTCAGGTTCTGAAGGAATCATGACAAGGAGCACAGCAGGAGCTGCCACCAGAGAGCTGTCGGGGGCAGGACACCAATGATACCACGGCAAACATATGGGAACTCCAACCTGACTCATTCCAAATGCACCAAACACCACTCTGAGGGAGAACTAGGTTTAGGCAACTTGGTTCAGAAACCAAGGAAGGGAGAAAAAAAGAGAAGCTCTCAGTACAGAAAGACTCCAAAGAGGAAGTTCACTGCAGGGAAGTGACACAGTCACAGTTCAGGGCATGCTGACACTTGTGACTGCCCAGAGAGCAGAAGTTACTCCCACTGCCCTCTTCCAGGCCCTGGGCTCCACAATAGGAATGACAGTGACCGCTGCAAGCAAAGAGCTGCAAAAAAGAGAAGCTGAAAAGGAGCTTCTCTCCTAAGCAAAAACAGCTTGGGAATTCTTAAGGTAGAGGCTGAGGCACATCACAGCACTCTGTTCCCATTCTGTCGTTACCCGGAGTGAGCAGCCCCAGGTAACCTGTATCCAGGGTTCAACTGGTCAGGGATCCATCTACATACTCAGGGTTAATTAACCACTCAGCAATGACTGTCAGTATAAACGTGATGCTTAACAAATAGTTTTAGAAGAAAGAATAATCCAATAATTATAGTCCCACTGACAAAAACAACCAACATTTCCAGACATGTGTATTTCTAGCCTATTTCCAGAGAGGCCTGGTTTTAATCTTTGTGATTTTTGATCCAGGTTGTAGACACTGCGGAGTGAAAACCGGGCAGGGCACTGATCAGAGAAACAGTTTAACAGCAACTGATTAAGCTGATGAGTGACCACGAGTGATCTCAGCATCCTAGAAGAGCTTGGGTTGGGAAAGACCTCTAAAGGCCATCTGGTTCAACCCCCTGCCAGAGGCAGGGACACCTTTCACTATCCCAGGCTGCTCCAAGCCCTGTTCAACCTGGCCTTGGACACTTCCAGGGATGGGGCAGCCACAGCTTCTCTGGACAACCTGTGCCAGGGCCTCACCACCCTCATTGTGAAAAAAATGAGCATCACAGAGCAAAACCTCCAAAGTTCTCCAGGTTTGTACACGCTGATCTAGAAAAGAAATTATGTCTGGGAGTCAGAATTAGCCTTTAAAAAGAACTCAAGATCACAGGCAACAGGCAATTCACTGCTGAATTTACTCAGATAGGCACTGGATTTTTTCCACTGGTGATCCTTCAATAACAGCAGGTACTTTCCTAGGTGACCTGATCCCCTTAAAAACTAATCATGGGTATCAGGGATTGTTAGATTACCCCAATAACCTTACTTCTGGCCTTAAAAAGGCTTCCTGCCATTTAGGGAGTGCAGCCACAAAACCAGTCTCACCAGCAATGCCCGACAAAACCCACCAGGCTCCCAACAACCACAGCTACAGAGCCACTCCAGGAAAGCACAGGGAGCCCAAGCTCCCTCACAGCGCTGTGTCCGCTGGGCAATCACACGGCCGCGCTGACCGGGAAACTGAGTCAGCTGAGGCGGCGGGGGCCGGGACACCAAACGCGGCCTCAGCCGAGGGGTGAAGAGGGAACAGGGCCGCTGTGGACTCTTTTCGCCGCTGCCAGGCAGCCCCTCGCCTCCCCACAGCCCCTCACCACCTCCCCTCAGCCCACCGCCCGGACCTTCCCCTCAGGATGGCAGGGGAAGGCGGGGGGGGGGGGCTGTTCCCGCAAGCCTCGGACCCTCCCCACCACTCACCCTCCAGGCTCTCGCACTGCACCAGGTTCACGTAGTCCCCTTGCCGGAGCACCCCCGCCTTGAAGCCGCGCACCAGCCCTTCCAGGTATCCGTTGTCCACGTTGAAATAGAGCTCCGGGAAGCACGACATGGCGGCGGGGACGGGCCGGGAGCGCTGCCGCCGCCGCCTCACGTGACCCGCGCGCTGGTCACGTGGCAGCGCCCCCTTCCCGGCAGCCACTGCGCGGCGGGAGCCGCCTGAGGGGATGGGGGGGGAGAGGAAGGAGGAGGCGGCGGGCACGGCCCGGGAGCGCCCTGGCAATAAATTAAATAGCGGCGTTCGACGCGAAGGTGCCGCCAAGTGGAGAGCGCATCAGGATTATCTTAAGTCAGGGTGTTCTTTGGTGTAAAACCTTTGTGTGCTTCCAAGCCTAATGAGCAGGCTGACAGTGGAACTGGCACCCCTTACTTAGGGACATCCTGGAGCTGACAGGCTTTAGGGGTGCAGTAAATCAAGATGTTGGTGTCTGTCTATGGATACATGGCTAGCTTGGCAAAATACTCTGGGTCCATGTATCATAGACCTGAACTATCTTCATTATAATACTAAAAATCACGCCTGCAGGTCAAAAAGACCCTGCCAAGGTGAAGACCTTTCCCCTGAGCATGAGTAGAAGTTACCTGGGTTATGTGATTTGTATGGAAATTACCAATCAACCTAACAGAGCGGCTGTGCTTGGGAATTTACTGCCTCTGAACTTTGCGTGTGAATAACAACACGGCAAGTCCAGCGGGACGTGCTGGATTTGTGGAATAGCCCCGAGCACCCGGGCTCGGCAGCTCTGAAATCAATAACCAGCGTCTCTCTCTCCAGTGTGTCAGGACCGGCTCGTTGCACACCGGGGAAAAAACCTCAATTTTGTGGGTGACAGCAGCGTGGCCAAGACATCACCTGGAGCACCCCTGCTGCTGAGACACCACTTACCCAGCCAGGAAAGGCCCATTTTGTTTGACGTGGAGGTGCCCTGGACTCCTGGCTGTGTGGACACGGTGCCCAGCCGTGTGCAGGCACCCTCCCCTTGCTGCTGCCCCTCTCCCCTGAGATCCCCAGCAGACACAGCACACCATTCCCACTCAGCAGTGGCTTTTGCAAAGGGCTGGTTTATTGGAGCTGCAGAGGAGGAGGCACACGCGTGGGCAGGGAGCAGCCCCGCAGGGCGGGCGCTAGTTCTTGCCACACGGGAAATTGGTGCTGATTTTCCTGCAGTAGCAGAAGGCGTTGAAGAAGCGGCAGTAGCAGGTGGCACAGGGGTCGCAGCAGGGGACCTGCTGGCCCAGGCAGGACTCCAGCAGACGGACGCAGCGGCGTGGGGAGCGCTCCTCGCGGCCCGCAGCCTGCAGCTCTGTGGAGGATGCCTGGAGGGGAGAGAGGAGGAACAGCAGGGGCAGAGTTGGTGCTGGACCACTGCACCAGCAACTGCGTGGGAGAGAGCCAGGAGTGGCTGCTGAAACCTGCCACTGCCAGCAGTGCACAGTCGTGCTCAACTCCGGGCTCAGCCTGTTGGAAATCACCACTGAGCCCCATGGTCTCTCTGCAGGGTTCACTGCCTTATCCACTGTGTCTCAAGGCCTTTCTGCACACATTTATTTTGAAGCACAGCCTGGACTTTAGTGAAGGGTGCTGTGCCTTCTGCCCGGACAGAGGGACTGAGGGCTGAGCCAGGCTGAACATGGCATTGCCCAGTGAGCTGCTGCTCTGCAGAGGCTTCCTGGGCTGCACTTGAGGTTAATTAAATGGATTGCAGGAGCACAGGTTTGCACTACCCTCCTTTGAGTGCTGTAGCGCCTTGTGTCTCTGGTCAGCCTCAGCTCATCCCAGCCCTGGCTGCTTCCCAGGTGATGAACAGATAATGCCTTCCCAGGCAGCACCGTGCTGGGCTCCAAACCTCCCCTGGCCCCAGGGGCACAGAGAAGGCTGCTGTGGCCTGATGCTTTCCTGCTCTTTGAGGTGTCTGTAAGAAAGCTCAGGGTTACCTGTGGTTCCAGCACACCACCTCTCCTCACGAGGTCACCATCAGCTTCTTGGACCTCCAGGGCCATCTGCTCAAACCCCAGCCTGGGGAGAGGTCCTGTGAGATACAGAGAGGCTGGACAAGGAGGCTGCTGGGGGGTCAGCTCTGATTCTGCTCCCCACAAAAAAAAGGCCCCACTTCCTGTGGGCTGCCAGGCTGCTCTCGCCTGCCAGGGCTAGAAGAAGCTGTTGCTGCTTTAGGGGGACCACCCTGCATGTGACTCTGGGCGTGGGACCCCCACTTCAACTCTGAGGCACTGGGCAGTGCAGCAAGGAGCTGGTGGGGGTCAGTGGAGGGCAGGGGGGCCACAGGACTCACCCGCCAGCTCTGCAGGCGCCTCCTTGGCTCTCCGCTGCAGGCTGGCGTGGCGGGCTCTGTCCGCGCCCTCCAGCCCGGTGCTCGCCTTCTGCAGGTGCCCACAGCTGAGGTCGGTGGTCCTGAGGTCCAGGACAGCCTGGATCCCCTGCAGCAGCCCACAGCACAGCAGCAGCACGTTCAGCATGGTCCCGGGGGACAACCTGCACAGAGGGGCCCGTCCAATGTCAGCCCGCCCCGCTGGCATCACCCCCCGAGCAGTGCCGTGTCAGCGAGGGGCAGCCCCTGCCAGCACAGCCACCGTGCCAGGCTGTTTGCTCTCTTGGCCTTGAGAGCCTTTTTTTGGGCCCCCAGACACCTGGGAGCTTCACATGGACCCTCCAGAGCACGCGCTGTGGGGCACCCCATGTATGGGCACATTCAGGATCTCCCCACAGAGAGGGGGGAGCAGCAGAGAACGGACTGAGACTTGACCAATCCTTTGTGCAGCAGTTCAGGGTGCCCCCTGCCCCACTCACAGCCTTCAGCAGCCACCAGACCATTGAGGATGCGGCCAAAACATCCCACACGGCTCCTGTCAGGCTCAGAGCATGGAAATGCCAGTAGAGGCTGGGCGCTGGGGGGGGGAGGACCACAGCGGGCACAGCTGAGGGAAGGACTGGGCAAACTGGGCTGGGGGACGGGAGTAGCTGCAGGGTTGGGCTGTGGGCTTTGGGGGCCTGAAAGCTGGTAAAAAGCAGGGAGACTCTTAGGGAGCAAAAGGAAAGGGGCCAGGAGGGGGTACCACAGTTGCTGCTGTCAGCCAAATCCTGGGAAACCCAGTGCCTGCTGCTTTAGCAGCCTTGGGGCTCCAGCCCTGGCTCCAGTAGCCCAATGCTGGCCACCCCTTTTCTCCCCATCCCACACAACCACCCAGCTCTTTGCTGGGAGAGACCCCTCTGCACCTTGGGGAGCCCCACACCCGTGGGAGTCACACCCCACACGCTCCCAAGCCCCTTCCCAAGGTAGGCACTGACCTCTCCGAGCGGAGAGGGGGCTCGTCGTTCACTGCTCCACCGAGCCCGCTGGAAGCGCCGCCACCGCTCTCTGCCTCAGTGTCCTCCACCCCACACGCTTCCTGGGATTTATATCGGCTTTTTATTAATTAAGTGCTGCAGCCACATGACTCCACTAACTACCAGGTAGGTGGGATTCTCTGGAAAACGGGCTTTGTCTGGATGGAGAGCAGCTGCCGGGGCAATGTGTGGGAGGGGGGACTCCTGCCCTGTGCCCCGCAGGGGGGAGGGACAGTTCCCTGCTACCCCCAAACCCCCAGGTGTCTTGGAAGTGATCCCCACCGCCCTTCCAGACTGCGTCCCTTTCCAGCCACGGCTGAGAAGCACCAAGGCTGCAACTTGAGGGCATCTCTTAGTTCCCAAATAGAGAATTATCAGGGCTACGGGCTCCTAGCCAAAAACATGCCAAGCTCGACTGGTTTTCAAAGGGAATGTTGCCTATCCATATCTCCTGGCAAGCGTCCAGTCATAGTCCAGAGCCTCCAGCAGTCCTCCAGCTTCTGACCACTGGCCATCTGCAGATTCTCCAGGCTGTGTCTCTCATTCATAATTCCTTTGGAAAACCTGCAGCTCCCCAGAGCCAGGCTCTTTTCGGGAATGCTCACGGCCTTGAGTGACTTCAGTGCTGCAAGGAAATGGGAGGATAAGACATAGGTTCAGTGGGCTGTGACATTCCCAGCAAGGGAGGCTGCCAGCCCGGGCTCTGCCCTCACCAGGCTGCTCCTAGATGGGGTGACCCCCTAGGCCTCCCAGCAGAGCATGAGCCACCACTCCCGGCTGCAGCACCAGCCCTGGGGCTCTTTGCAGGCCCCCTCTGCCCCTCACATGCTCTGTCCCAGCATGATCTGATTCCTGCTGCATTTGAGGAGTGGGCTGAGCGAGTGTGGGACCAGCAAGAAGCTCGACTGCCATGTCCCATCTCCTCTGGCTGCTGGAAACACTCAGCACCCGCCTCTGTCCCCAGTGCACAACACCCAGTCAGGACCCCCCAGCACAGCACCCTGGTGTCTCCTGCACACACGTGCCTGGGTGAAGGCTCATCTTGGGTTAGAGGCAGCTTTGGCAGCCATTCCCATTCCCATCCCTGAGGCCCAGGTGGGTGCCAGGTGCCCCATCCATCCCCAGCTCCTCCATCCCCAGCCCTGGGGGCTCCGGGTCCCCAGCCCTGCTGTCCCCGTCCCCGCTGACGCCACCGCCGCTCGGGGCCCTCGGCCCGGCTCATTAGGGCCTGTTTGCAGCCGGCGGGGCCGCGGGCCAGGACTTCTGGGAAGGCATTAGCGGGAATGAGGGCGGCCGCGCTGAGAGCTTTTTAATCTGCAGGAGCAACATCTGCTTTGTGCGCATCCCGATGGCCAGTAACGAGCTAAATGAGGCTGCCGCCCGCTCGCCGGGCCGCTTCCAGGAAAAGAGGGCTCACAGCGAGGGGGAAAGGGGGGTCGGGACTGCGCCCCCGGCTCGGTGCTCCCGGCAGCAGGGAGGGTGGGAGCGGGCGATGGAGCGGGTCAGGGGCACGGCGGAGGTGCCGTGAGCGGGCACCCCGGGCAGGAGGGCAGCACAGCCGGAGCTCATCCCACAGCGGGACCCTCGAGAGATAACCCCGGGCAGGCGGCTCTCCCTCTCCTCCTGGAAGCATCCAGGCAGGCGGGCGGCTCATTGAGCTCATCACCAGCCCTCGTTACCGCTAATGCCCCCTCAGTGCCACCACCCCACACGAGCACTGACGAGCCGGGCCGCTGGAGCCGTCGGGGCGGCAGTGCCCGGGGTCTCCCCGTCGGGAGGTGCGAAGAGCATCCCCCCAGCCCCGGTGGGCACCGGGCCGGGCCCTTTAAGGCGCGATCCCGGAGCCGCCCTGACGTCAGCGGGGCGGGCGCGCCCGGGCACCGCAGCCCCGGCGGCCGCAGCTCCGCGCCCCGGGGAGAGCGGCTCCATCGGGGCGCACCGGGGGCAGCGGCTGCGGTGGGTATCGGGGGGCTGCAGGGGGGCATCAGGGTGCCCGGGGTGCTGCGGTCTGGAGGTGAGGGCGCTGGGGTGCCCAGGGTGCCGGACACCTGGAGGTTGGCAGTATTGGGGTGCGCAGGGTGCTGGGATCTGGAGGTGGCAGCATGGGGTGACAGGGGTGCTGGACGCCTGGAGAGAGGGGTCTTGGGGTGCCCGGGGTGCTGGGAACACGCAGGTGGGGTATGGGGGTGCTCAGGGTGATGAGGGACTGTTGGCAGGGGTGTTGGGGTGCCCGGGGTGCTGTGGTGCTGGACACCTAGATGCCCTCTGGGTTGCTGGGAAGTAGCGAGGCTGTAAAGGGATGTCCAGGGTGCCGGGAACTGACAGAGAGGATGTTGGGGTGCTCAGGGTGCTGGGGACCTGGACATGAGGAATGGGGTACCCTGGGATGTTCGGGAGTGGAGGTGGGAGTACTGGAATGTCCAGGGTGCTGGGGACTGGAGGTGGGGATACAGATGAGTGCCTAGATCCCAGGATGGGGACTGGGAGCTGGGGTGTCAGGGTACCCAAGCTGCTGGGGTCCTGATGCCTGAGGTGCTGGGGGGCCTGGTATTCGGGGGAGCTCCATCCCTCACCCCACGTTGCTCAGCGTCTCCTCCGTCCCACAGCGCCCGAGGCCGCCGCCATGGCCGGGGCGCAGGGCTGCGGCGAGGGCAAGATCGCGGGGCTGTACGACCTGGAGCGCACGCTGGGCAAGGGCCACTTCGCCGTGGTGAAGCTGGCACGGCACGTCTTCACCGGGCAGCGCGTGGCCGTCAAGGTGATCGACAAGAGCAAGCTGGCGGGGGAGGCGGCGGGGCAGCTCCTGCAGGAGGTGCGCTGCATGAAGCTGGTCCAGCACCCCAACGTGGTGCGCCTCTACGAGGTCATCGACACCCACGCCAAGCTCTACCTCATCCTGGAGCTGGGCGACGGCGGGGACATGTTCGACCACATCATGCGGCACGAGGGCGGCCTGGCCGAGCCGCGGGCCAAGCACTACTTCGCCCAGATCGTCCACGCCATCTCCTACTGCCACAAGCTCCACGTGGTGCACCGCGACCTCAAGCCAGAGAACGTGGTCTTCTTCCAAGAGCAGGGGGTGGTCAAGCTCACTGACTTTGGGTTCAGCAACCGCTTCCAGCCCGGCAAGATGCTCACCACCAGCTGCGGCTCCCTGGCCTACTCGGCGCCGGAGATCCTGCTTGGGGATGAGTATGACGCCCCGGCTGTGGGTAAGGGTGGTGAGGCACTCTGGGGACCTGCCTCCCTCGTATCCTGGAGTGTGGTCCTGCCAGCCAGGAACCACCTCGCTTTTGGCCCCTTATGCCGGGAGCACCCGGTGGCCCTGCTGTCCCTGCAGGGAGCACGGCTGTCCCCTGGGTGCTGGGCTGCCCAGCCCTGCCCTGGCTCGAGGGGTCCCCCCTGCAGAGACCACCCCAGCACCCACTGAGATCCCACAGGGATCATGGCGGGGAGGGGAAAAAGCCCGAGCAGGCTGTGAGTCCGTCGTGGCATCCGCCGGGGCTCGGGAGAAGCAGAGTGAGGACGCAGCTGCCGGCAATCTGGCGCTAGTGGTTATTTGGGGGGGTGAGGCCGGAAGGAAATCTGCTTGGGATGCTGCTGTTTGGGTGGAGGAGCTCCGAAAGTTTCCTTTGCTCCATCCCCGCCCTGAAAACCGCTTCCTCTCTGTGCCTCCCAGCGCCCTTCCTCCCCTGGCCGGGGCACGGGGGTCTGGGGAGGCTGTCCCAAGGCACAGGGAGCTGGGCTGGGGGCTCTGAGAGGCTCTGCTGTGACAGAGGGGACACGGGAGGGAAGCAGGATCTGAGCTGGCTGGCTGGCTGGAATTAGGGCAGGAGGATTTAGCAAAGCAAAACACGAGCCCTTAAAGGAAAAAGCCCAGCGTTGGCTCAGGAAAAGGCGGATCCCGAGCAGAGAGCAGGGATAGCTTATGGAGGCGGCAGGAAAATAAGCTGGTGGCGCTGAAAGGGAAATGAAGGGAGAGAACCGACGCAGATGAGAAATTTTCAAACACTTGACTTAAGCAGCTGAAGGTATTAACAGAGAGCCCCGGGGCGTGCTCAGCATCCTAAATGTGCCTTCTGCAGGAGTTTTGTGTTCTGGGCAGGAGGGACCAGTGAAGATGCTGCTGGCTCCATCCCTGCCCTCAGGATGGGGCAGCGATCCCACTCCAGCTGGTGCCCACACAGCCTGAAAGCCCAGATCAGTGCTGTGTCCTCATCCCATCACTGCAGTCTCTTGCAGCACAGCACAGTGCCAGGATGGTTGTGGTGGAATGGTCTGGGAATGAGAAGCTGAGAAATGACATGGATGGCACTGGGGGGGGAGGGGGGACAGTTACTGGTGGGACAGAGCTCAGGGCTGGCCTCCCTGTGCCTGCCTGGACAAGGGGATAGGACCTCAACTGCTTTGGTGAAGCCCCTTGAGACCTGCTTGGATGTGGGGATGGGGAAGGTCTTTCCCTGCCTTGGTGGGGCTGCAGTCCCCCTGTCCATGGGGCAGGACCTGGGAGCTGTTGCCTCCCACTGGTATCTGTTGGATCGGCATTACAGACTGGTGGGGTGGCCCCCCCGGGGTCCCTGGGGTGGAGAATCTCGGCCCACGGGGAGTGCAACCTGAACTGCTGCTGCTTCTTGCAGACATCTGGAGCCTGGGGGTCATCCTCTACATGCTGGTGTGCGGCCACCCCCCCTTCCAGGAGGCCAACGACAGCGAGACCCTCACCATGATCATGGACTGCCGCTACACCGTCCCCCCGCACGTCTCGGCCCAGTGCGCTGAGTAAGCACCACCCCCCTCGCTGCACCCCCAGACCCCAACATGCTGCCCCCGGGGTGGGTGCCCCATCCCTCGGGGATGCCTGGGAGCTGAGGTGGGAAAAGGGAGGGTAAAGCTGCCTGGTTTGGGGTTCACGTGCTGCTGCAGGGTTGCAGCGTCGCTCCTTTTCCCGCAGTCTCATCTCCAGGATGCTGCAGCGGGACCCGAAGCAGCGAGCGTCCCTGGAGCAGATCGAGGGCCACACGTGGCTGCAGGGGGTGGACCCGTCCCCCGCCAGCCGCTCCCTGCTGCCCCTCACCTCCCACAAGCGCGTGTCCCAGGAGGAGCACGAGATCATCCTCCAGGCCATGATGTGTGGGAACATCGCAGATCGGGAAACCATCCAGGAGTGAGTGCTGGGCTGGGATGCCGAGGTGGGAGCCCCTGCAAAGGGCTCTGGGGGTCCCGGCACGTCCGTGGTGCACTGACGTGAGTCCCTCGGTCGCACAGGGCGCTGGAAGCCGATCGCTACAACCACATCACAGCCACGTATTTCCTGCTGGCGGAGAGGATGCTGCGGGAGAAGCGGGAGAAGCAGGGCCACCGCCTCAGCCTCGTCTACAACCTGGCCAAGGAGGTGCAGAGCAGGTGAGCCCCTCTCCTTCCCCCTGTCCACGTTACCCCCACTGTGCCTTCCCAGGTCCCCAGTGCAGGGTCTTGGCCAGTCCCCTGTCCCCTTCCTTGCCACAGCCCTTTCCATGCCCAGATGGGTACGACACCTCCCTCCCTCTCTCCCCTTCCTCAGGACCAACTTATCGGACACGTTTGGCTCCGGGGGCGGTGCCAGCAGCCTCCTGCCCTTCACAGAGCCCAGCAGCCTCACTGGGGGGTCCCGGCTGCCCCCCGGAGGGGACATTGGTGGCCGACAGCCCACCGGGACCCTGCTGAAGGTCCCCGCCGTCGACACCACCATCACCAAGAGCACCCCGGCCCTGCAGCAGATCTGCGAGGAGGAAGAGGAGGATGAGGAGGATGAGGAGGGGAGGCCCAGCGCCATGGAGAGGAAGAGCAGCTCACTGAACCAGGAGCAGATGCGAGCCTTCCTGCGCGCCCACCGCCCGCCCGGCCGTGGGGAGGTCTGGGGGACGGGGGCTGAGCTGGGGGGCCGGGGCGGGCGCCTGGGGGCAGCCTGGGCTGGGAAGGGAGCGATGGGGGGCCAGGGTCTCCTGGGCCTGCGGGGGCGTGGAGCTGAGCCCCTGAGGAGGGAGGAGGACACAGAGCCCGGGGGCTCCTCAGCAGAGTTCCCCAAGGAAAGGGGAGCTGTCCTGTCACCCCAGAGCAGCTCTGCTGGGGTACCCCAGGTGCTGGGAGCAGAGACGACCCCTGCCTCCCTCCCAAGCCCCACGGACACGTCCCCAGGGCAGGGGGCTCCCACCAGCCCCGCCCGGCAGTCGGTGGAGAGCTCAGGCACTGAAGGGGGTGCGGAGAGTGTGATCAAGCTGGACCCGGGCAAGGGCAAGGGGGGCAGCCTGCGGGACAGGCTCCTGCAGATCCCGCTCTGCGAGAAAGCCCTGGCCTTCAAACTGCGGCCGGGCTCCAAGGAGAGCCTCCTCTCGCTGGGGCAGTTCAACTGCTGTCACGTCATTTAAGGCCCGGGGGTGAGGGACCAGCCCTGCTGTGGGGTCTGAGTGGGAGGGCACCCGTTCCCCTGCCTTTGGTCTGCCAGTGCCATGGGGCTGGCAGGGGGCACAGTGCCCTGCTTTGTCACCCATGGTGGCCACCCTGCCAGCCTCCCCAAGGCACCCTCTGTGAGAGACCCCCCAGGACGGGCCCTCCCGAGGGCGAAGTGGACTGAGGTCCATCCCTGCACCGTCCGGCTCGTCCCCAAACCCCAGGACAGCTCCCTGACCCTGCCGGGGTGCGATGGACCACGACACTTTTTTAACTACTAGAAATAATTTTTTAAATAGTCTATTTTACTGTAATTAAATAGAGATTGCTATATCCCCCTGGCCCCCCCGGGCCGGTGATGCCCAGCCCCGCAGAGTGCACGGCCCGGGGCTGGGCTGTCCCGCCTGCAGCCCCCCCGCTGGCCCCGGCCGGGGCCAGGCACAGCCTGGCCCGTGACCCCAGGCCATCCCCTGGGCCCTCCCCACAAATAAGCTTCCTATTTATTATCTCTTTGTTTTCTTGCTGGCAAGAAATGAATGCCGACGGAGGCGCGGGCCGGCGCTCGGCCGGAGCCGCGGCGCGTGCGCGTGGAAGGATCGGAGCCACTGGGAAGCAAAGTTCACCGGGACAATAAAATAAGCTCGTGGGTTGATGGGGGTGCACTGTCTTGTAAAAACACACTACTGTCCTCCCCCCAGCCTTGCCAAGGCCAGGGCAGCAGGGGTGGCATCCTGTGCACCAGGGGTGGGTTCCCGGGAGCGTCTGCCTGAGCTGGGGTGGGCACGGGCCCAAAATGGGACAGAGAGGAGTGAGGATAGGGAAGAGCAACACCCAGAGGTGAGGGAGGGCCTGAACATGCCAAAAGGCCCAGGGAGGGTATTGCAGACCTCCACAAGGCAAAACCACACTCAGCCCCAGGATCCCCCCACTTGCTTTCCTCACCCCCAGCCTGAGGTGACCTAAGCCCAGGGCCACCCCTGAGCCCCCAGTACCCACTCCAGCCCTTTCTTCTGTCCCTCCAGCTGTGCTGTGACTCTCTCTCCCATCCCTTCTATTTCTCACTATTTTCATGTGTAAGAGCCTCGCCTGTCATCACAGTGTGGGATCCCTCTCTTTGCACTCCTGGGTGACTGGAAGAAGAGAGCGGTGCTGTGAGGGTGTCAGATGGGAATGAGCTGGACCTGGAACGTTTCTGGGGGAGATGGTGGTGGGAAAAGAAGCAGGGACTCCAGCAGCAGGAGGGGATGCTGTTGCTGCCCACAAGGCTCCCCTTTCTTGCTCCTAAAGGATAAAGCCACCGCCTGAACAGGGGCTTGAACCCTGGACCCTCAGATTAAAAGTCTGATGCTCTCCCAACTGAGCTATCCAGGCTCATGTCTGGGGTTTGGGGGGATGTCCAGGACAGGCAGGGGGGACCCCACTTTGCTGCAGCGTTTGGAAGGACGGTGTGCGGACCTGCTTTGACCTTTCCCACCCCCACAGCACCCCAGCGAGGCTGCCAGCGCACACCGGGCTGAACACC